CAATAAGTGGCATGGATCCTGCCTCCTGCCACTGTCAGACGGGGGGGGGGGGATTGAAATTTGCCAATTCCCCCCCTCCCATGCTGTTCTTGGGGGTTCCCTGTCCCCCAGGAGTAGCATTTCAGGGGCATTTGGGGCTGCAGCAGGAGGGGAGGTGAAAAGGTCCCACTGCTAATGGAAACAATCCCATCGGTGTTAATTTTCAGTGGGATCCAAGGCAGGGTGTGTTAGGTGAAACCAGCAGTCCCGCAAAGCTGGGGATTTATAAGACACCGGGAAACTGGCACAAGAGATGATCTAAATGCTGCACTCCTGTGACAACTTCCCCTGCTAGGCATAACCTGAGGCACAGCCTCTCAGAGAGGCCAGGCCGCCACAGCTGAGGAGAAGGACTTGGCACCGGACAAGCGTTCCTCACCAATACTTCAGGGCCCAGGGATGTGATAAACCCAGCTGCCACCAATAAGATTTTAACTTACGGGCAGGGGGAACATCTTGGCTCCTCTCCATCCCCTGGACCCTAAAAAATCCATCCCCACTTTCTCTGCCTCTTTTTCTCAATATGGGCTGCACAATGCAGCAGATGTAAATGGCCACAGGAGAGACAAACCCCACGCTCCCTGGCTCCCCCAGCTGCCACCAGTAAGATTTTAACTTACGGGCAGGGGGAACATCTTGGCTCTTCTCCATCCCCTGGGATCCCAAAAAATCCATTCCCACGTTCTCTGCCTCTTTTTCTCAATATGGGCGGCACAATGCAGCAGATGTAAATGGCCACAGGAGAGACAAATCCCACGCTCCCTGGCTCCGTCCCCTCAGACTACTCTTTACACAGAAGGGAGGGGGGGGACACACAGGAATACATTAAGGGACAGAACCAAATAGCAGTAAGATTGAGTCAACATACATGCGTCCTGAAGGGATGTGGGGGAACTGGAAATGAACTAGATAACACAACACACAGCGGTAAAGTTATAAAAGGGGACCCTCAGGACAGCCTAGCCTGTCTAGCTATCGTCCCTGTTTCTGCCACCTTCCTCCCTGTCCTTGAAGAAGAGCGGGAACCCAGTACCAACCCTGGCGACGCGATACAAGACTGCGGCAACTGAATAAAATCAACTGCTCTTTTCCAGTGGTCACCAGAGTTCTGTGGCAACGAAAACTCCGCTGGCCACACCCCCTGCTTATGACATCTCTGCACACACTTCCCACGTGCTGGGAAATCATCTGAGCCAGGAGAGGCATCCGCATAGCTACCAGGGCCCAGGGTTTTTGCCAGGGCCTACAGCCACAAAGCCTTCTCCCCCCCCCCCAACCACATGCTGCCCATGAAGGAATGGTGACACGCTTGGTGGGCACAGTGATGGTGTTTCTGCCTATATTAGGGTCACCAACCTCCAGGTGGTGACTGGAGGTCTCCCGCTATCTCAACGGATCTCCAGGCGACAGAGATCAGTCCCCCTGGAGAAAATGGCCCACTGAAGTCCCTCCCCCTCCCCAAACCTCCCCCTCCTCAGGCTCCACCCCAAAAATCTCCAGGTATTTCCCACCCTGGACCATATGCACATGATAGTTAAGGGTTTCAAAGGCTGTCAGCCAGCATTCCTTGATCTTCCTGACCCCAGAGATAGAAAGAATGGGCTGAGCTTTGTTGTGCATTCAGAGATGAATGTCAAATGCTCGTCATAGACTTTATTGACAGTTACATTAGCTCCTATGTTTGGAAAAGGGTATTTAATGAGTTTCGTTTTGTTCCTTGTTGTTCTGGCCAACCACCCTCTGGGTCTTGAAAGAGCAACCAAGGATATCCTTTATAGAATTTCAACAGCACTATTTATGTATTGGGGTTGTGTTGAAACATTCTTATCGTCAATGCTTTTCGGTGGGCTTTCTCCTGTGCTCTGGGGAGCAGATACCCACTGTGCATGTCTGGAGGTGAGGAGAAAATCACCTCCCACTCAGTTCCTTCAGACCACATCCAGTAAGTCCCATCAACTTAAGGTATGTGAATGAGAGAGGCCAGCAGTGGGGAAGGATGGGCAGGGTGCTAGCCCTTATCTGGGCCCCAGCCTGCCCTCTAAAATGTCGCAGCCCAGAGAAAACA